TCTCTCTCTCTCTCTCGTTTTCTCTCTCTCTCTCTATCTCTCTCTCTTGATCTATCTATATATCAATCTATCTATCAATCTATCTATCTATCTATCTATAGATCTATCTATCCCCACTACATTATAAAAACATAATGTAGGCCTACACACATATCAGACCATACTCTGACAATGTTACAATTATCCAGGTTACCTTTAACCGGTACGGCTTGGTGTTTCTGAAGTCTCCATAGATCTTTCGAAACATGTTCCTGTGCTGGATGTGTGCGGGCGCCGTGTGCACTGTGACGATTGCGTCATAGCTTGTTGCGTTCCCGCAGCCTCCCGTGGTGTCCAAGATTATCTGTCACAACAGAGTACACAGAACACGTTGAGACAACACAACACACTGAACACATTGCGACAACACAATGCACACTACACATTGACACAACACAACACACACAGAACACATTGACACAACACAACACATTGCGACAACACAATACACACTACACATTGACACAACACAATACACACAACACATTGACACAACACAACACACAGAACACATTGACACAACACAATACACACAACGCATTGACACAACACCATACACTGAACACATTGACACAACACCATACACAGAACACATTGCGACAACACAATACACACAACACATTGACACAACACAATACACACAACGCATTGACACAACACCATACACTGAACACATTGACACAACACCATACACAGAACACATTGCGACAACACAATACACACAACACATTGACACAACACAACACACACAACACATTGACACAACACAATACACTGAACACATTGACACAACACAACACAACACAAAACAACACAGTGACGTGGAACAAGCATCTAAGGAAGCTCATCATCATCATCATCATCATCATCATCATCATCATCATCATCATCATCATCATCATCATCATCATCATCATCATCCTGTGCCAAATCTGCGACAGACAACGACGACCATGGTTCTCCATTCATTCCTTTGTTCGGATGCTCTCATAATAATAGAATCTAATAAATAATAAAAATGGAATGGCCATGTCACAAGATCCACAGGACTTGCCAAAACAATCCTGCAAGGAACCGTACAAGGAAAGAGAAAGAGAGGAAGGCAGAGAAGGAGATGGTAGGAAAACATTACAGAGTGGACAGGAAAGACGATGGGTGACAATCTGAGGAAAGCAGAGGACAAAAATGGAGGGAGAGAGCTGGTTTTCAGATGCAGTGGTGCCCCCACGGTTGCCCCAACCACGGGATAGAAGAAGAAGAAGAAATAATAAATAGCATTTGTATAGCGAAACTTGGAAGATTACAAAGACAGTACATGTACTGAATAAAGTCCAGACCTTCATCAACAGATGTATGAGTATGAGGAGTATCCTAAGAATTAAGTGGCAGGATAGAATAAGAAATGAAGAGCTGTGGGAAAGGACAGGACAAAAGGATAGATCTATAGACGTAGAAATAGGACTAAGAAAGTGGCGATGGATGGGACACACCCTGAAAAGGCCCAGCGGAAACATCACAAGACAGTCACTGCAGTGGAACCCACAGGGAGCACGAGGCAGGGGTAGGCC